TCTATTCGTCTTCTCCAGAAGCGTACCCACCTCTAAGCAGCATGCATCATGATGCATATCCCAGTCATCCTTGCCTGGCGCCAGGCTGATTCTCTTTGCGCTCATCTCATCCGGCCAGATTCGATCCATCAGACTGGTTCCCAAATACGAGAGATTTGTCTCCTTCGGGCACTTGGTGGGGGCCAGCCATCCCCAGACCCAAAGAACTTGGAAAGTCAGCCTGGAGATCCCCCTTCGTCCCAGCATTGTAGCCGACCAAGAGACCCTGCAACCTTCTCTTCCGAATCCCAGAGTTTTGGCTCACTGCCTTTTGAGATTCCCGACGGGGACACCATGTTAAATCCTGTTGAAGGTTGAAGCTAAACCTCGGCGGGCGAACATGCTCCGTCGAACCGGCCTCTCAGCAGTCACTCGATTCTGACCTGGATCCCTATTCTAGTTTCCCACAAGTCATTTCTCGACCAGGTGGGAGGGGTGAGAAAAAAAACCTTTCCAAGGTCCTCTTAGTCACATTAGGCCAAGCCCAGGGAGTGGCAGCTGCACGGCGACCCGCGGGTAGCCTCTGATTCCCTCCACTTGTGAAAAGTGGCAGCCACTGTGCGTTCCTGCTGCTGGTTCCCTCAGGCGAACAAGACCAATCGTCGGCGGTATGGCTGCCTTCAGCTTCCACTTCCGCAGAAAGCTCGCCTCTTCTCAACCGAATGGTTTAGCAAGCCCAATAGCCCAGACGACAAAGGTCGATGGAACTGCCGCCAGGAATCGAGGCTGAGTCGACCCGGTGTCCCATTGCCTGGTGCGTTTCCTGAACTGCAGCTCCACGCGACGCAGTAGCTTTGGAGACTGAAATGCATGCATGTCGTGACCACAAGTTCTATTCCGAGCCTCGAATTGGTACTTACTACCCATGACGCCTCGTGGCATTCCAGATTTCTGTTCCTCCCCTCCATCACACCCGTGGTCCAGCAGAGCGTCTATTATGTTGACACCTATATCCCTTGTCCCTGCTGACAATCGGTTCCGCGAATGACGGACTCAAAACCGAACCTTTGTCATACGAGCGACCCTTTCATTTTTAGTTGACCTTCTTTCTCTTCGATGTCAGTTCCTTGTTCCTCGGATTTGTCGAACCCAACGTTCTTGTGGGGACGAATGTCTCTCAGCCTTGCCCATTAATACGAGAACCTTTCCTGGAGTCCAGCACGTCTTTGTCCGACCACATTTTTCACACATTGCTGTGAGTATTGCAGAGATTTACAACGCGGAGAGCGCGTTCTGGTTGTTACGGACCATTCGGAACGTCTTCTCCATCGAATTCGGGTTTCTTTGCGCTCTTGATCTGTCAGGACAAGTACTGCTCGGGACGGTACAGAGACGCGGCTGGCTTCATCCGGCTCCAAACACCGACAGTATCTTCCAATCTGGCTCGAAGAATGGCAGGTCCTGGAGGTGGCCCGCCGCGTAAGAGCCATACAAAATCGAGAAAAGGCTGCAAAACCTGCAAAAGGCGACACATACGCTGCGATGAAACCTTTCCACAATGTCGAAATTGCACGAAACACAGTTGTCGCTGCGACTATATGGACCTGCAAGCTGCAGGAGAAGAACCCGTGAAGGGTACCACGCCACCAGATCTCTTGATGTCACCTGAACTGCAACTCCGACTCGACAACTGGCGACTGACGGGCGAGTCCCCCTTGCAGGAGCTTCAAGTTTCTGACAGGATATATTGGACACGATTTTCAACCATTGATCTACGTCTTGTTCACCACATTACGACATTATCAACTGACATGTACAATCTGGGATATAGCCCATGCACGGTCTGGGTGTCTAGAATGCCTTCGTAGGGTAGATCGTATCATCCTATACGGTTTTCAGCTGACTTTTCCTTAGGCTCATTTCGGCCGCTCTAACACATGACTTCGTGATGAGTGCGTTGCTTGCTCTGTCGGCATCTCATCTAGCATGGCAGACGAAGAACACAGACACAGTCAATCTGGCGTACCACCACCGAGGTGTCGCTATCAAAGGTCTCCATCAAGCCATTGGGGCCTTTTCGAGAGAGAATTCCGAAGCTATTCTCGCTGCCTCAATTCTCCTCTCGTGGCAGGCTACGGATTGGTGCGTTCAGTGTCTAGTAACTCTGCAACAGCTAACAGTTACCAGGCGCGGCTGGGCCTCACTCCAACAGGGAGTATCGACGGTATGTCAAACGGTGTCTTTTAACAAGCAAAGCTCCTGACCTTCTGCAGGTTCTGAGCGCGATGAGGATGTGGATACATGAATCAGAGCTCGCAAGGTACTTGGAAAGCCAGAGAACTATAGCGAGAGCAAGAACACCGGCGACACCCACAATGCCGCATGCCCAGGTGTTGAACCCTCATGATGAACTTCGCCGGATAGAGGAAATCATCACGGCCATTCATAATCTAAGACTGCGACTTTCGGCAAACGAAGAGCTCCAAGAACATGCGGGTCAACTACTTGATTACCTGCAGGACTTACAACGAGACTTATCAATTGCATCGCCCGACAAAGCGTTCAGCCGACTACAGCCACTACGGGACATGATCTTCTGGCTGCCACCCCTCATCCTACAGGGTCCTGACCCCGATCTGGGACCATTGGCTCTACTCGCACATCTTTACGGCAGTGCGCTTGCGATTGAACCACTGTTTCCAGAGATTGGGGGCGCGTACCTCGGAAGCATGTCCATTGGACCACTGGAGAAGATTCATGACATGCTGAGAACAAGGCGTGCGACACAACCCCAAGACACGAGCATCTCTCTAGCCTTATCTCTTATGGAGGTGCCAATACAGATAATGACTTCATACAGACTAAGGCAGAGACATAACAGCCAGGGGAATCAGGGCATTGAGGGCTATCACCATTCTCCGCAAGGAAGTCCCTATGTGGGCCCTCGCATACCGATTGCTACTCCTAACTCAGACAGCTCAGCTGCCCCTGTCTACCCCAATTCACCGCTACACGCGCCCGGCAGTCTGTCCATGCCCGGATCGTCATATTTCCAAGCGGCTCTGGCGCCTGTGGAACCACGGCGAGAATCGTCAATATCATCGATATCGTCGATGGGGCGTACCCCTCCCATGAGTGACCCTCGGAGCCTCGCCTCAAGCAGCCCACATGCTCTGGGTATGGTGTATGGATCTCCAGCTACACACCCGCGAAGCAGCCACGAGCTTTCAGGGTCAAGAATGGACTACTTTGGACAAATTCAAGCACCGTACAATCAATACGGCAGCATGAACATGAATACTCGGTTCGTCGCTCCTTCACAACTCTGGACTTGACGGACATCTTTCGACTGAGTATTCTTCTTTCCCACAGGACCCCTCCGGCCACTATGTCTCCGAATGTGCAACAAGGGCAACCCGACAAAGGGAAAGAGCGGCAACAATGACATCGGACCGAGCAGGGGGGCTGGACGATGACGTGAGACTGGAGATATTGAAGAGGGAGTAATCCACGATGACTAGCGAGCCATCGAATCAGGCCAGACGGGATCGCAGTGGGAACGGTAACGAAAGCCGTGAGCGGAGGCCGGTACCACTGGACGTTGGGGTTGGCAATATACCAAATACGGCGGGGAAAAAAAAACTCAATCAGCGTTTGTCCTGCGTTGTCATCTCGGTTCGGGGAGGAATGGAACGCTCTCTCTTTCTTTGACGCATATGGAGCTCGTCGATCTCTTGATTATCAAAGATCGATGATGTTCTCGGGGAGGCATTATCTGCTGATGGTGTATTCACGACGAGGTATGACTTCACCTTGCTGGCTCGGTACTGTCAGGAACGGAGTTGCTTTTGCAGTGCTGGACGGAGGCTCTTTCAGTTCAGCTTAATTTGGTTGGCCTTGTATGTAGGGAACTCCAGTGCCTCCTTTCCAACCCCAGCCACTCCTTTGTGATTCAATGACGGCTTTGATGTGCTCTCACCGATACGATATATGTTAAGTTGAAGGCTGAGTAGGGAGGTCCTCATGTGCTCATTTGAAAAAGAAGCTTGTTCGTATTTATAGGTAATTTGGGAACATCGGGAGCGTCGGTCCATGAGCCGCACCCTGGGAGTCCGGTTGACCCAAGCAGGTGTTGTTCATACCTCGTATGATAGTGTCGGCAGACTGGGACGGTATACGGTGCCGGAAGGAAACACGAGATGGAGTCTTAACGCCTGGTGTCCGAAACACGAAGGGTAGACTCCTGTTACGAGGCACGGGGGTTACGGGTCCTCGATATTGAGCAGTGGCATCGTCCCGTGGTGCATATCGACCCGCATTAGCCGAACGGGTTCGGATTCCATACCTCCACCTTGGAACACGAAGCTGTCCACGTGGCGAAGATAGTAGCGAGAATAATAGAGTGAGGGCTGAGAGCGTCATAAGCAGAACAAGTACCCTAGTACCTAGGTACTGACATGGGTCAAGGAAGCCGACCGTGGAGACATACAAGTAGCCACGCTTGTCTCCTATTCCGTTTGGCTGGGGGAACAGATCTGATGGAGACAAATCAAGCCCCGGGGGGACATTTTGCTTGGGGCATGGCAGGGGTATGTGGAAAGGGCATGAAAGAAGACCCACGGGTTGACCTGCAGAAGAAAGGATGCAGAGGGGAGGGTGGCCCAAGGTTGAGGTACAAGGTACATGCCTATCTATATACGAGGTATGTACCTCGTATTGTAGCCTCCAAATGGACAAGCATCGCTAAGTTACGGGGGAAAGGAACCTACTTGTCAGCATCATCAAACCATCCCACTTTTATTACCCCCTCGCCCCGTAGGAGCCACAGTGCAGCAAGTTGACCTGCAGGGGAGCGCAGTTTGACCGTACGAGGTCTGCAGTTAATTAACCCCCACTCTGGGGATGTTTACTTGTTCACAGATTCGTGCATATCCCAAGTTCCAACTGACCCATCGATCCGACGGCGCAGGCGTTGAAGTTCTCGCACCTGACCCTTCTGTTCGTCCGCAACCCCCTCTGAGATGGCTGAAGATGCCGCCAGTGGTGGTTGGAGCACCATCGAATCAGACGAAGTAAGCCCAACACAAGGTCCATACCCCCTTGTCGTTCCGGTGTTCCAATTCGACCGCGCATCGCATTCACGATGGAATCGCTGACAAGTTGATGTTTGCTACAGGGTGTCTTCACCTCTCTGATCGAACAGCTGGGAGTCAAGGACGTGCAGGTTGAAGAGCTATTCTCACTGAACGCAGATTGGATCCGTGCTCTGAGGTACTCCCCGTGCCCTTTCCCCTCTGCGTCCCGCGCGGGTCGTTCCCATGTGAAACTAGCCACGCTAACACCGCCCCCGGCTTGTACTTCAGTCCCGTCTACGGCGTCATCTTCCTCTTCAAATGGATCGGCCAAGGTTCAGAAAATAAAAGTGCGCCTCAAGATGGCTCCTACGATCGTACCGCAGTCGAGGACGAGGGACTCTTCTTTGCCGCCCAGACGATACAAAACGCCTGTGGTACGCAGGCTGTTCTCTCAGTGGTTTTGAACAATGACAAGTCGGTCGACGGCGCTTCGTCGGGGACGGATGGGGGAGGAGCAAGAATTGACATCGGACCTGCCCTACAAGAGTTCAAAGAGTTCACGACGGGCTTTGACCCGGGGCTGCGCGGAGAATCGCTCTCAAACTCGGAAATGATACGGACTGTACACAACAGCTTCGCGAAATCTAGCCCGTTTGTTGACGAGACTCTACGTGACCCCAACGCGGGAACCGAAGACGTGTTTCACTTCATTGCGTACACGCAATACCATGGCAAACTGTACGAGCTCGACGGGCTCCAACCCTATCCCATCTCTCATGGCGACTGCACCTCGGACGAATTCCCGGACAAGATCATGTCTGTGTTGCAAAGGAGGATTTCGAGATACCCAGAAGATGAGATCCGCTTCAACCTCATGGTCGTGTGCCAAGATCAGAGGATCAAGTGGCGCGAACTCCAGGAGCCCGGGCTGCTTGCGGAGGAGGAACGAAAGCGAGAAAAATGGGATTTTGAAAACGCACTTCGACGGCACAACTTTGTGGGCTTTACGGAGGAAGTGCTCAAGGGGGTGGTCAAGATGAAGATTCAAGATGGAACCTATGATGCGTGGATAGACCAAGCGAAACAGGCGACGGAGAAGAGAATGAGGGAGAAGCTGAGCCATGGTGCTACGTGAACTCTGTCTGACATCCGGGCTCGATGGTGGTTTTCTGCCATATCAAACGACAACAATTCCCTACAATAGGGTGCAGGCCTTGTTGATACCCTGCTTGGAACAAGTCTTCCGCAAAAAGGCATTGTGATAGACAAAAAGAGTAGATTGTGCATGTCCAATGGAAAGCAAACATTGACCAGAAAGGCAGTTATTTTCCATATTCCATCCCTTTTGCCACAGATTGGTATCACGGATTAACGTGTACTTGCAATACCCGATCGGGCCACGGTGCATTAAAAAGGAGGAAAAATTTGTGTCTTGGATGCCACAAAAAAGGGAGGAGTGGCTCTGATTGGCCGGGCGGGACTGGTGTAAAGGGCGGCATCTGATTGGTCGGCCGGCCAAATACTAAGTGCTCATCAGCCATCCTGGCCGCCTCCCACCACCACCCCCCGATACAACAGCACTCCTGCCGGACCTTCAGAGATTCTCATTTCCATTGTTTTGAATAGTTGATTCATTCATCTCCATTGACGTCTGATCTATTGTCTCAAGTCACTTGTTTCCCAGCCACCTTGTTTGAGTGCCACTCTGCCCTTTACTCCCCCCAAAACTTGCCCTTTTGCTTTCCGCCCCGAACCATCCTTTTTCATGCCATTCCATCCGCTCATCATTACACCAACATCTTCATTTATCCCTCATCACCTAGATGGAAAGTAACCTTGCGCTTCTCCATCGCGTATCCTCTTGCTTTGCACCATGTCAGCCACCGAAATCGACACTCTGTGGCGCTTTGCCTTTGGCGAATCAGCTATCCGACCCCTGCCCTACAGTTCGGAAGAGCTGGGCGACGATGGATGGCGACCACTGACGGATCCGCAAAATTTCATCCTGAATCTGGCCAATCTGAACCAACAACAACTCTACGCTGCGAGTGCTAACAATCAACTTGCCATGATAGACGCCCAGAATGAATACCTGGAGCTAGAACGCCACATCGCCAACATCAAGGGCAAAGAAATCACCAAAAACCCCAGAGATCTCCCGGCACCGGATGTCTTTGAGGAAAGGAAAGAAGCGGCGCTGTACGGTTACAAGTATGATGCCAATCGGCCAGCGCTTCTCCATGCCGGCATTCCTGGTCTGAGATCTGCCGATGATCTGACCGAGAGGGAAAAACACGATGTGCGCTTGTTCCAAGAACCCTTTGAGCAAGGCGGCTTTGTGCCCAAGGAGAGAGAGTACAAGGCCAAGCTCGCCAAAGCCAAAGATCCCCGAAACGTCGACGGCTGGATCCCCGTCGAAAAGGACGGCAAGCTCCTCATTCCACGTCAACAAACTCACCATGAAGAATACAACATCACATATGTTAAGCGCAATGTGGATGAAAATGGTGAGATTATTCGACCTCAATCGCCCGAAGGTAGCGAAGTCCCTGGTGAAACTCCCGACAAGGCCGTCAACAAACGGTTGACCAGAACTCGCTTTGATGGCAAAAAGTTCCCGCCCACGCGAGACGTGTCGGAGGCTCCGTCGACAGCTTCTACTCCAAATGGCAAAAAACGAGCAAGCCCCTCAGGAGCCGACACCAGGGAAGATACGCCTACTTCGAAACGCCGGAAGATCCATCTTACCGTCAATGGTGGCGAACAGCCCAAACCGAAGCATCCGAATCAATATACCAAAGCAAAGGAGAGAGAATTGGCTTCGACCACTCAAACCGCCCCGGTTCCAGCTAGTGTCAAACCCGTAATGCCGTCATCATCGTCATCGTCCAAGCCAACATGGCGGGAGTTGTCGCCCATGTCGAAACGCACACACAAGTGGACAGACCCGGACTTGATTGAGTCGATCAAGGAAGATCACTCGTGGTTGCATGATGACCCCAAAAGGGCAGAAGAGTGGAAGCACAAGCTCCTCAATGGCATCAATCCAGTTCGAAGCCTGAGCATGCTGCTCAAATGGAACTACTGGCAAGTGACCAACCAAGCCAAGAGACCGCGGGCGAAAAAACAGGCGGCGGAGCCAGAAGAAGCAGTCAAAGAAACCGAGGACTCCAGCGAGTCTCAAAAGCCGAGACGAAGGGTGACCAAGCCCAAAAGAGCCGAGGACAGCGAGCGATCAACACCTGCAACGACGCCGGCGCCAGAAGCCGTCAATGGCGTGGCAACACACGCGCCGAAGCTGGGAGTAAACACACGAGCAACGAAGTCCTTCCGGAGAGCACCTGGGGCGGAAAACGCCACTTTCAGAGACAAGGACTTGGAGCAAGATAAGCGCAATGGCACGAACAGTGGAAAACAGGCAGGTACAGAGATGGAACCATCATCAAGAGGAGAGGAGGTGGCGGTGGACAGAAATGGCAAAGACCTGAACAGTCACGCATCATCAACCAGAAGGCCAAGCATGAAGAGAGAAGAGAGCGACTCGACGATTGTGATCAAGGGGAATGCCCCATCGACAAGGCGATCGCTACGGAATACACGGAGATCCAGTGGCTAAGTTTGTCTATTGGTAGAAGACATCATTGGTTTGGCAACAGCACGACATGTGTATGAAGGTGTCACTGTAGGGCGATAGTTGCCGTTTCAAAGAGAATCATCCTACAGAGTCTTAGATATGGAATTTATTGATAGAGTCTCGAGTGTCTTAGTAAATAAAAGCGATGCCATATTTTTCCATGTCTGAGTAGGTATGCTGTACTCGGTACAACGGAAGCATTTGTCTGCCTTACTTGATACGGAAAAACAAGGCTGCAAGGCTGAGCTGCGGGCAAGGCTGAAGTCCAATTTCCAACCACCAGGAACAAGTCAGCAGTGGGTGGCAGTCGCCCGTCAAGTCTTGGCAGGAGCGAAACTGCGCTTCGGACATTTCACTTTGCGGACCTTTTTCCCTTTCTTCATGTTGTTATTGTCTCCTCCAAGTCCACGGCATCAAGTTCACTATCGTCCGGCCATCGCGTGAATTTGTGCTCCTTTATCTCGGCGAGTTTGTGATCTTCTTCCATTTCACAAGAAATCTCAACACTCATCTAGCATTCTCCGCTCTCCGGCTGCTAGTCCTTTCTCAGCTGCACGATCCCGAAGACGCCTCTGCTTCTCCCCTGCACGCCCTCGTCATGACCAAGAAGAAGCGTCACCATCCCGATGTCGAAGAGGTGCTCGCACGGCCATGGTGCTACTACTGTGAGCGTGACTTTGACGACCTCAAGATTCTGATCAACCATCAAAAAGCAAAGCACTTCAAATGCGAAAGATGCGGTCGAAGGTTGAACACGGCAGGAGGCCTCAGCGTCCACATGAGCCAAGTCCACAAAGAGAATCTCACCGCGGTCGACAATGCCCTCCCTAACCGAGCGGGTTTAGATATCGAAATATTTGGGATGGAGGGGATACCCGAAGATATCATCCAACAACATAATCAGCGAGTCCTGACCAACTTTCACCAAGCTCAAGCTGACCGGCAGGCGGCTTCTGGCAATAATGCTCAAAGTGCCCAGCATCCGAATGCCCCCAAGAAACCCAAGATCGAATCTGTTTCCGATATTAAGAAACGTCTGGCAGAACACAAGGCTGCCAAACTGGCTGCTGAGCAAGCCGATGGAGGAAGCAGTGGTGGTGGCACTCCTAACCCTCCTACAGCTACTATAGTCCAAGCCAAACCCCAGATAAATACGGTGAGTCGATTTAAGTCTTCACCGTGTCACACTCACTCATTCTCAAAACAGGCAGCGTCTCCAACCTACCCTGGATATCAACAACCCTATGCAGCGCCACCTACGAATGGTTCGTACAGTCAAGCCCCTTCCTTCGCCCAACCCCCAACCGCTTTATCTGCTCCGTATCAGGCGTCGCCTATATATCCTTCTGCCGCATCTCCGCCTGCTGGCGAAGCCTACGGCCAACACGCTGCAACTCCACAGCCTGGGCAACCTGGATATGGACAGATACCATACCCTCCACAGCCATACGTTCAACCGCCGCAGCCATCATTTCAGCCGCCGCAACCTTCACCGGTGGGCTATCCCCCACAACCGAGTTTCTCACCACCTCAGTACACGTCACCCTATCCAGGCCAAGCCTATCCTCCCCAACCCGCTGGACCTCCACGTCCATTTGCATCGGGATCTCCAGTCCCAGGGTTTCCTCAGCCACCCCCAGCTCTCACACAACGCTCCCATTCGCCTGCTACAAACGGTAATTTTCCTGCACCAGTGCGTACTGGCAGTGTAAGTCTACCTAGTGCTCCAGGATTGCCGCAGAGGCCCGCTTTTGGTGCTCCGCCAGTCAATGCTTTCCAATTTCAACAAATGCATCAAGGTCAGATCCCTGCTCCACAATCCCATAACATTGTGCCGCAGTACGCTCCCGGACAGACTCAAGGCAGCACAAGCACGCAAGTCCCGCCACAGGTTCCCATACCGAACCAGCCTTCTGCTGTTGAAGCTCAAGATGCCTCATCTCTTGATGACTTGATTGCAAATGCTTCGAAACAAGCTGATGCCGATGCCGCCGCCGCCGCTGCTGCTGCTGCTGCTGGCGAGGCTGTCGCCAAACCCGGAACGCCACTTGCCACCACTGCGTCGGCCACCACCAAGGACGAAGCCAGCGAAGATAAAGCTGGACCGAAGAAAGACAAGGAGAAGGAGAAACCAAAAGCAACCAGGTTGGTCTACTCTGATAACGAGACAAGTCCTGAAGAGAAGATGGCCATGTTGCCAAAGTACGCATTTACTCCTGCACAGAAAACAATTGTGGTCTAAACGATACTGTTCGATCGACCTGCGCGCCAAGCAGTGGGTAACGATCCCATCGCTCTCTTCCATCAAGACTTGATTTTGTCAATGAGACTGGAACTCAGCAGCATACATTTTTCAGCTAAGTCTTGCAGACGATACCAGCTCACGCTTCACATTATCCTTTCGTCCCTGTCGCAACACTGGCAACAAATGTAATACCGGATGGTACAAGCAAGATAGGCGTTTTTTTTTTTGGTGAGTTCACAAGGGGCAAGTCATCGTCTCATTGAGGGTGGGTGAGATGGAGGGTCACTGACACGGATTTTCGACATTTTCTTTTCGCCTTGAACAGCTATAGCAGGCGCCGCCACCATTGCATGAGGCTTGACACGATTCCACTGACCGAGCCAAAAAGGAAAGACAACTGGCAAGGCAGTGATTTTCGAGTGGCTTTTTTGTGACAGAAGGCAGCATCTAGCATATCCACGATACCAAAGCTGCTTGCGTGTAAGTGCAAGACAGGTTGGTGTCTCCTTTAGTTATGTCTCAAATACCACTTGATGTTGACTACAAACTTTGACTTGTTTGATTCTGATTTTTCCCTGCGGTCTATTTATTATTTGACTTAGTGCTGCTGCTGCTGCTATGTATGTATATATGTGACCGACCGCTCAATGCTCAACACGCCCAAAGCGCTTAGGAGAGAGGCTCGGGTGCCCATCGCTACCTAGCTATCTACACTAGACTATCGTGACTATCTACGCTATACAATGAAAAAGAAAGAGGGGGGGCAGGGGAAAGAGAGGGAGAGGGAGACAAGGCGAAAGGGGGGAAAATAACCACGCTCTCTACATGAAGACAAAGAAGGGGAAAAAAAAAAAGCATGATTTTGTTGTCCCATCCATATTCGATCGATCGATTTGAAGACTCGCTCGGTGGTTTCCCGTTTCTGATTCTCTGCCTTGAAAGGACCCGTTGCATTGCACACGCGTATGGGGACCGGGGTGGGGGGGTCGGGTAGTGAGTGAGTGAGTAGGGGGCAGGACAGGACAGGACAGGACAGGGCATGGCATCTCTCCTCTTTCCCTTCTTTCTTCCTTCCTCTTGGCCCACAACCGGGGTATCTATCTGTTCGGGCGAGACGGTGAGATAGCTACCAGCTCCCCCCAACGTTTCCCGTCGCGGCAGCTCGAATCGCTTGAATATCGTGTGTCGTTGTCATGTCACCTGCCTCTGGCCCTGCCCGCCTCTACCTCTCTTGTTTCTCTTTCTTGGACGCTCTCTCAACGACGACGTGACGACAATAGGGCAAAGATGGTTTGTTCCACGCACGGAAAAAGCAAGGGGGCCATGTTGCAATTCGCTTCGACCAGCTCAATTGATTCTTTTTTCCTCTTCTTAAAATTTCTTCCTCTCCTCTTCCGCCCCCTGTTCATCTCGGTCTCGTCATCATGTCGATTCATGTCTGGCTCCTGTCTTACATTTTGGCCTTGGTTGAATTTCTCTTTCTTCCTACCCCATCACGAATGATGTCAATTGTTTTGTATCTTCACGGCCACTCAGCACTCCCTTATTCATCGTTTCCCCACCCCAGACAGCTGAACGTAATGTAGTTGGGTCGGTTCGCTTGTTTGTGCATCATTTTCATGTCCATCTTCGCCCTCAGACCCCCATTTTTCCTTAGTTGCGGGAATGAAGGCTGGCTGTTTCCGCAACCCGAGCAGATACCGCAACTGTTGCCTCTCTCCTCATCCGGAGCCAACACCATAGCCATCCCTCAACTTGGCTCGAACCGGCGGTGCCAATCCTGCAATGAAACCTTCGAACCGCTCTTGCCCAATCAATCCGCCAAGGCCGTTGATGACCCTGGCGAAACTGGCTCGTACATCGCTGTATTCCTGTCCCTGTCGTCCTTTGAGGGGGAACTGCGCGATTGCAGAAAAGTACAAGACCAGACTCGATTCCATGGCCTGAGGATTCTTCTCCAAAATATTGTTGAACCCTATGAACGCCGAGGCCTTCTCATGCGATGTGCTTATCTTTGACATGGACTGCAAAAACGGCTCTGCGAACTCGGACAAGAAGGGTGCAAGATGATCCGCACACGGCACACCAAGTCTGCCCAATGCAGTTGCGGCGTTCTCACTTGCTGCATCAGGGACTTCTTCGTTCGTAATCATGGACAGCAGACCACGATAGAGCGGCTCGATAAGAGGCGCGATTCTGCTGGCCGGTGCTCTTGCCGCGATTTCGCCCATACTCCAGCACACATTGGCGAGGACGTTGAAACCGTTTTCGGAATCCGTGTCCGGGATGGAGTCCAAATCCAGTTGTCTTATCAGAATTGGAATCAGTTTCTCTAGGTAGGGATCCAAGCTGGGGTAGAGTGCAATCGCGCAGTCACCCAGAACCGCGTATGCGGACTGTCGCACATCAGTGGTTGCATCTTCCATACAGAAGCCCAACAGGTCGAAAAACTGAGGCTGCGAGTTCTGTACAAGTGGTGCTGACTTCTCTGGAGAAATGGCTTGGATTATCGCGCTAAGAAGATCCAAAGCCGTCACGATGAAGTCCTTGTCTGGTTGATCGACAGTCTGGCCACTGATATAAGCCATGTGCTGTTGTAGGTTTGCGTAAATGAGCTTGATGCACCGGTCGAAAATGGGGGGAGCGAACTGTGCAAAGGTATCGCCGTAAGCCATTGCGATGTACCCTAAACACCCGAGCAAGGGGAACATTTCGCGGGAGTCGTCTTGGATTTTGTTCCATCGTTGGATCAGGACAGGCATGAGCAGGTCGACAAGCTCCGGCGTGGCAATTTGTGAGCCAACATTGTCAGCGAGAGTCTGCAGGCAGTCGTACAGGATGTACATGTTTTTGTCCTTGTACCGTCTGAAGCACTCGGTGAATTGTCGTAAGATAGGTTCGACGTACGGCTTCAATTTGTCTCCAGATTTCTCCTCGAGGGACGCAAAGGAGCTAGCCCCCGCTTCCTGGACTTTCTTATTCGGATCGAGCATACGCTGCAGGAGACCCTCCATCATAGGTTCAAAGTATCGTTGTTTATCAGCTTGAGATTCCAGTCGGGCCGCCCACTCGGAGTAACGGGCCAGACACCAGCACGTAATCTGACGAACAACTGGTTCCTCGTCCGACAGCAGAGAGATGAGGAACGGAACGAGCTCGGGTAGATGAGGAGAGACGACGTCCATGCAACCTTCTGCGATGGCGCCAAGAGCGAGGACTGCGGCTTCGCGTTTCGGCCAGAGAGAGTGAGAAAGGTTTTCCTTCAGGTATGGCAGAATGATGTTGAAGACGGCCGAGTGATAGTTGACCGCGAAAACATCCAGCGCTGCGGCAGAGCATTTGCGCAAACTCCACGCGTTCTCAGGATCTTCGTCATCCCATTCATCTTCGTCTTCATCTTCGTCCTCAACTTCCCCGTCGCTGAGATCGTTCTTAGGTTGTGATGTCCCATTCGCCTGTGGCGTTCCAGGCTGACTCTCGTCCTTTTCGATTGAAACAACACCTCTTCCCGCCTTGGTCTGGGCAAATTGAGGTTTGATGTCTTCGGCACGATCCTCAATATCGGCATTGTTTTCTTCACCACCCAGTCTGAACGCATCTTCTTCTCCGTATACCATGCCCGAGAGAAGCACAGGAATGATCTTTTCCAAATAAGGCCCCATTTGACCTCGCAATTGATCTTGTTCCCCGATATTCAACCAGAACTCGGCCGCGTCCAACGCTAGATCTGGGTGATCTATCGATTGTTGTTGGGTGAGGATATAATTGACGAGTCCCTCGAGATGAGGCGCCAACATGTCGGGTCTCGCATCCACCAGTTGCACAAGAGACTGGCACACTATGCGTCTGACTTGCACGTCCGGGTCTGAGGCAAGTTGGAAGATAGTCTGCAGATAGACGTCTAACGTGGAAAATAACACTTGCGATTTTTGTGGAATAAACGACTTGAGGGTGCTGAGCGCAAAGACCCTGATCTTAGGGTTTGGATGAAGAGCAAACTCGAGCAATTTCGGCACGATGACACTCATGGGGCGTTGACCTTGAAACTCCTTGTCGAGCAGTTTTCGGTTATCCTCACATACCTTCGCCAAAGCGCTCATCGCACCTTCCTGCGTCTCTCCTGCAACGTTTCCACCGGCGTTACCGACGAGCGCCAGCAGTTCTTGCAGAATCTCAGGCCATTGCAGCAGACCGCCCTGCTGGACCGTCTCGGTGATCACAGTCCCTGCGAAACTGCGCAACTGTGAGTTCTGGTCGCGGAGAACGTTAAGGGTGGCCGCCTTAATGTATGCCAATTGATCCTTGGGAATTTGGCTATAGAACAGTTTGATGTGGTTCTTCAGGTTGACAGCGGCGGCATAGCGAATGAGGAAAAGACTGGGTGCAGCGAGATTCAGAGTCTGGCCAAGCTGCGGAGTGCTAAAGATGTAGGTAAGGTAATTGACATAATCCTTATTGTTGCGCGCATTCATGAGCATCTGTTTGCTTGGTTCATGTCCTGGTTAGTGATTTTGCTCTTCTGGAAAGTTTGGGATTGTCCCTTCTGAAGAAGACCCGCGCGGGGATCTTCTACCCCGGATTTCTTTTTTTTTTCCCCTTCTCTCTTGGGGCCTGAAGTAAAAGACAGACGACAGGAAGTCAAGACGCACCACCTCAGCTTCTTTTTGCTTGTTCCTGTCATGGCCACTTAAGGAATTTTTTAATAATTCCGACAACTGCCTCAACCCATCCTCCTCCGGTTGCCACGTCATGACGGGCACCGTTGCCCGGAGGCTCTTCGATCGAGGAAAAAGATGCGCAGTGTCGTGGTTCGGGAGGGACGTTCAAAGAGAACCGAGGAGGACAGGAGAGCCTTCACGTTCCCGCTTGTCTGAAGTGGGAACTTTGGATACAATGAGACCCGAGGCAGAATGAGGTGGGACGTTGATTGATCGTGAGTTTAGCCGACTCGTTTCCTCACAAACCTGCGAACAAAGCCCAGTCAGTTGAAAGTTGCC